TCCTACGAGACACGCGATTATTTCGCCTTGCAGCTAGACGACTCCACCTCCCCAGCCGACATAGCACAGCGACTGGGGGCTCGCCATGAAGGCTCCATCGGAGAACTGTCACAACACCATACCTTTTCCATACCCAGAGAGAGCAGTGATGAAATCACCACGCTGTTGGATCAGTTGCGGCATCGGAGGAGTCTGCGGCGCCGCTCCGGAGATTCTGTTGCTGGCCTCCCGGCCTTGAGCAAGAGAGAGGAGGGGCTCGATGGCATTCTCTGGTCCGAAAAGCAGGCCCCGAAGAAGAGATTCCAGAAACGGATCCCCCAACCAGCGAATGTCCACCGGTCGCCCGCTGCCCCCAAGGAGGACCCGGTAGCCGCCCAGGCTCTACAGCAGATTACTACGTCCCTGGGGATCGCAGACCCCATCTTCAACGGGCAATGGCATCTCTACAATACTATCCAAGTTGGAAATGACCTGAATGTAACCGGGCTTTGGTTGGAGGGTATTACTGGAGAAGGCGCCACTACTGCAGTGGTCGATGATGGATTAGATATGTACAGCAACGATCTCAAACCCAACTATTTCGCCGAGGGCTCGTACGATTACAACGATAAGGGCCCTGAACCGAGGCCGCGGCTCAGCGACGACCATCATGGTACCAGATGCGCGGGTGAGATTGGTGCGGCCAGAAATGATGTTTGCGGTGTGGGTGTCGCCTACGATAGTCGCATTTCAGGCATACGAATTCTGTCCGAACCAATCGACGACACCGACGAGGCAGCAGCCATCAACTATGCTTATCAAGACAATGATATCTACTCGTGCTCGTGGGGTCCGTTCGACGATGGCGCCACGATGGAGGCGCCCGGAGTCTTGATCAAGCGCGCTATGGTCAATGGCATTCAGAATGGTCGCGGGGGACGAGGTTCGATCTTTGTCTTCGCGGCTGGCAATGGCGCAAATTATGACGACAACTGTAACTTTGATGGGTATACCAACAGCATCTACAGCATCACCGTCGGTGCAATCGACCGTGAGAACAAACACCCCAGCTACTCCGAATCTTGCTCCGCCCAGCTGGTTGTCGCATACAGTAGTGGCTCAAACGATGCGATCCATACTACTGATGTGGGGACGGACAAGTGCTACTCGTCGCATGGAGGTACTTCTGCTGCCGGTCCGCTGGCTGCAGGTACACTGGCTCTTGCGCTCAGCGTGAGACCTGAGCTTACTTGGCGCGATGCCCAATACCTGATGGTGGAGTCAGCAGTACCTGTCCACGAGAGCGATGGGAGCTGGCAGAACACGAAGAACGGCAGGAAGTTCAGTCACGATTGGGGATTCGGCAGGGTCGACGCCTATACACTGGTGCAAAAAGCGAAGACTTGGGACCTGGTGAAACCCCAAGCATGGTTCCACTCCCCTTGGCTGCGAGTACACCATGAGGTTCCACAGGGCGACCAAGGACTGGCCAGCTCGTACGAGGTTACTCGAGCAATGATGGATGAAGCCAACCTCGAACGCCTGGAACATGTGACTGTAACGATGAATGTGAACCACACTCGCCGTGGAGACTTGAGCGTCGAACTGCGCAGCCCGGAAGGGCTGATCAGCCACCTCAGTACGGCCAGAGAACCCGATAATGAGCGGGAGGGCTATGTGGACTGGACTTTCATGAGTGTCGCGCACTGGTAAGTTTCTCGCCTCTTTTCCTCTTGCCGTTCCAGTCTTCTCTGGCTTGTGCTAATCAATTCCTAGGGGCGAGTCTGGTGTCGGCAAATGGACAGTGATTGTCAAGGATACTCTTGTCAACGAGCACAGCGGTCAATTCATTGACTGGCGGCTCAATCTCTGGGGAGAGGCTATCGATGGCACTAACCAGCCCCTGCACCCCATGCCTACCGAACACGATGACGACCACGATTACGAGGACACCAGTGTGGCCACAACCAGCATTGATCCTGGCCCAGCCAAGACGAAGCCTCCCACGCAGCCGACCGATGTTGTTGACCGTCCAGTGAACGTCAAGCCCACTACAACGGCGGTACCGACGGGGACCGAGGATAAGTTGGTCTCCCCTACTGAGACTGGCGTGGCTGCTTCGCCCTCCGCCGCTTCTGACAGCTTCCTGCCATCCTTCTTCCCCACATTCGGCGCATCGAAGCGAACCCAAGCCTGGATCTACGCCGCGATCGGGTCGATCATCGTCTTCTGCATCGGGTTGGGCGTCTATTTCCATGTCCAGCGCCGCAAACGCCTCCGCAACGACAGCCGGGACGACTATGACTTTGAGATGGTCGAGGACGAGGATGAGCTGCAAGCGATGAATGGACGGTCGGCGCGCACTCGCCGCCGCGGTGGTGAGTTGTACAATGCTTTTGCTGGGGAGAGCGACGAAGAGCCTCTCTTTAGCGACGACGATGAAGAGCCGTACAGGGACCGGGGTATTAGCGAGGAACATGACCGTGATGGTGCAACTGGAGGACACCATCCGAGAACAGCGGACGAATAGACTTTCTGATTGTTTGGGTCGTTACTTATTTCATGTTGCTTGATCTAAGGCATGATGAGCATTAGCATTATCATTCTCTTTCTCTTCCATTTGGATTGCTGAAAACGTGTCTTCTGTCTTCTGTCTGGGTGCATGAAAGCGAAAGAGAAAAGCTGTGTATATAGCAGGGATACATAACACCTCATAATAACAATGAGGATGGTAAGAGTGAGTGATGGGTTGAGAGCAATTCGCAGATTACCTTGTACCTGCTAAGTAGTAGCTATTCTAGTAACTGTAGTTACCTCCCAACCCACCGAGTCCGTTCGGGTGGGTTCTTGGCAATGACGGCAGCTGCCCCCCCGACCCCCCCAGCCCTCCAACGGAACTTCACCTCCACATCTTGCGACCTGAAGCTACACTTCTCCGCATTACAACAATCCACCCCACTGCATCACTTACTCTCCTTATACTGTAATTCTCGCCACGTTCTTTGTCAAGCTTCAAGTTCCCGATCAGGCGGGTAGTTCCGACACAGCGCAGATAGATCCTCGCCGGCTCTTGACGGCAGCCAAACCCCTCGCTCGATGGATCACCACGACGACTTCGACAGCGTCTCGTGGCGCCACGAACCCGACAGTGATGTCTCGCGACCCACAACCTCCGGAACGGACGCAGAAGAAGAGCCGCATGGATACGGTCATGATGTCAATGGCAAGCGACGAATGAGTTCCGCCGAAGAGACCACCCAGGCCGGACCAATGGCCGATGCCGTGGATCTCGCTGGGATCGGAGACGGCGTGCTCGAATGCCGGGTCGACTCGCCTTTGAAGGAGAATGACGGCACGAAAGATGCATACATATCCTACTTGGTCACGACACAGGTGGGTTGTTCCTTCACACGCGGTGGTGTCGCTTTCGCTGCCCGCACGGCTGCCTAGCCGCCCGGGGGGGGGGGAAGAGGGGAAGGGAGGAGGATGCTGGGGACAGGATAGACTCAAGTTCTAATCTACCAGCTTGCTACAGACCGACTTCAAGTCCTTCCAGAAATCCGAGTTTACTGTACGACGACGGTTTACCGACTTCTACTTCCTCTACAAGACGCTGTACCGCGAGTATCCCGCGTGCGCGGTCCCGCCGCTGCCGGATAAGCATAAGATGGAGTATGTCCGAGGCGATCGGTTTGGGCCGGAGTTCACCACACGCCGCGCGTGGTCTCTACATCGATTCCTGAAGCGTCTGACGTTGCACCCGGTGTTACGGCGGGCGCCGTTGCTGGCGATCTTTCTGGAGTCGCCCGACTGGAACGCCCACATGCGGCTGCGGTCGTCTCGCAACTCGACCAGCACGTCCGACGGGAGTGGGGTGCCGGGCCTGTTCGACAACTTCACCGACACGTTCGTCAATGCTTTCACTAAGGTCCACAAGCCGGATCGGCGGTTCATCGAGGTCCGGGAGAAGGCCGATAAGCTGGACGAGGACTTGAATCACGTGGAGAAGATCGTGGCTCGGGTCGCGCGACGAGAGTCGGACCTCGAAGCGGACTACAACGACCTGGCGACGCAATTCCGGAAGCTGACGCCCCTGGAGCCGGAGGTGGAGGTGCCGTTGCAGGTGTTCGCGGCCTCGGTGGAGGAGACAGGCCGCGGCCTGAAGACGCTCAAGGACCACACCGATCAGAATTACTTGGGGTCGTTGCGGGATATGGAGGCGTACATCGTGTCGCTCAAGTCCTTGCTCAAGACGCGCGAGCAGAAGCAACTGGATTTCGAGGCCCTGGTGGATTATCGGAACAAAGCCGTGGCCGAGCGGGACTCGCTGGCCTCGAACCCGTCGTCGTACTATGCTTCGAATCCGCTGACCTCGTCGCCTGCGTCGTTCATCCGATCCAAGATGGAGGACATGCGGGGCGTCGACCACGAGCAGTCGCGGCGCGAACGGGTGCGGAAACTGGAGCTCCGGATCGACGAGTTGACACGGGAGGTGGAATCGGCCAAGACGACGTCGGAGATGTTCGACGAGGAGGTGGTGCGCGAGGTGGCCGACTTCGAGCGGATCAAGGCGGCGGAGTTCAAAGACACGCTGGGGGCTATGGCGGAGAAGCACATCGACTTTTACCAGGGCGTGCTGAATACCTGGGAGCGGTTCGTCGCCGAGATGGAGGGTGATCTGGATGAGAATGCCGGAGAAGCAGGGACCGGCCAAAGTCGGTAGCTCTGTGAGCGTGGGCGTGTGTTTTATGATCATGTTGTGCGTTCCAACTCCCTCTAGGTATACTCTCTATTGTTCTATCGGACTAGCCTGTTTGTTGTGTCTGCTGTGCCTGCTTATACCTCTTCCTCTGCCAATCAAGGGCTTTTTCTTTCATTCATACTATACAAAAGAAGGGGTTCAGAAGAGGAGAGAGGAACTGGGCGAGGCTGAAGAAAACACAAAAAAATCACGACGTCTCGTTATGTATACTCTTTTCCCCTCTCCCCCTCTCCCCCTTCCCAGAATCCCTTCATCAGCCCTAACTCCCCACCAACCGATCCCTCACCCTCTGACTCTCCGCCCACTCCAAATCCACCGGACTCGGATTCTGCTGCCCCACCGACGGATCCAGAACCGCCAGATCCAAGGCGCGAGTCGTTTGCCTGCGAACGAGCTTCTACAGGTGCCGCCCGTGCGTTTTCCCCGGATTAGCTTGGAGCCTGCCCTCTCTCTGTCTCTCTCTCTCGTTCGTTCGCGGGTAGATTTGAAACATGACCCAAAAAACAACAAGGGCGGAGAAGGGACACCCACCTCGCGATAAATCTGATTCGGCGTCTTCGTGATCTGCGTAGTATCCTTGGGGTTCTCGCCGGCGATCAGGCGCAGGTAGACCTCGTGGTCGTAGTCGATTTGGTGAGATTGCGGGGAGGCGAAGTTGGCGCTGAGGTGGAGGGGTTGGGACTGAGATTGGGATTGGGACTGGGGATTTTGGGAGGGGATTGCGGTCTGGGATGTTGATGTTGATGTTGTTGTTTTCAACGCTGTGGATGTGGTTGTGGTTGTGGATGTAGGAGACGGTGTGGATGGGGCGTTGAATGCCATATTCATGAAGTCAGGGTTGAATCGGTGCTAATGCGCATAGTTCCCTGTGATATGGACAACATGTATGGGATGAACAGTCTCCAACACAAAGGAGAACCAGATTTCTTGGACTTTATTTGAAAAAGTTTCTAGTCTATATGTACTGTACGATCGACTCCCCTTCATGTCTGACGGTATTGTGGCGGAGTGAGTGCATAGGGGGGGGGGGGGGCTGTGAATGCGGATGTACAGTATTTGTACTGTACAGCTCAGCTGGACGACACTACTGGTGGGGATTGGTATGCTGGGCGAGAAAGGTTGTTTCAAATTACTCAGGACTGTGTTTGTAAGTGAGCTGAGTTATGCAATGGCACAAAGAAGAGGAATTCTGGTCGATTAACTGATGGTTTGCCACTGAGTCATTGGATCGGCAGGGAATGTTTTGGCCTCTTCATTGCTCGGGGTTTGAGGGTGGGATTCGGTGCTGGTCTTTAATTTGAGTGGGGATTGTCGATGCATGTGTATGTGTATGTGTATGTGTATGTATATGTGTATGTTATGAGTATGTAGAAGATGCTGAAGTCAGTGTTAGGTGAAAAGGCACTGAAGCCAGGCCTTGCGAGAGAGAAGCTGACTCTATCTTCTTGTCTATGGGCAGACATGCTAATTCAGGAACGAAGTCAGCCTGTCCGACGGTGACGGAGATGGCGGCCGCCGGTTTCTGCCACCGCCTCAATTGACCAGTCTGGCCCCACCTTTTTTGTGGGCTGTTCCTGGTGTTTTTGGCATTTCGACTCGCGAGGTTGCCAGTATTCTGCCACATAAGGCGGTGACCAAGGCGGTCGAGCGTAGATCAGCGGCCGTTTGTCTGGTTTGCAAGCCATCAGCCAACATCCATCCGATACTTCGATTCCATCCGGATGATTTCCCGGTTGACGACCGCGACGTCTTCTGTCCAAATCTTCCAGTCACCATGCGCTCTCTTGTACGAACGGCCACACGGCCCTACGTCTGCCCGTCTTGCCAATTGGGCCGTCTCTCCGCTCGCCGCCGGTTCGCATCCGCCTCCACCCCGAGCAGCGCATCGCCCGAGATCTACGATGTCGTTTGCGTCGGCGGTGGTCCTGCAGGCCTAGGCCTGCTCGCAGCCCTACGTATGCAGTCTCAAGCTTCCTACGTCCAATGGGCATGATCTGACAAACACTAGGAGCTACCCCCGCTACCTCCAAGCTCAAGGTTGCCCTCGTGGAGACCCAGGACCTGGAGAAAGCCCGCTCATGGTCTCTCGATGCGCAGCACTACTCCAACCGCGTCAGCAGCCTCACGCCCTCCTCCGTTTCCTTCCTCCAGAAAATCGGCGTCTGGGACCATGTCGACGCTGCTCGTGTCCAGCCCTACCAAGAAATGCAGGTCTGGGATGGCGAGACCGGCTCGCGCATCACCTTCGACTGGTCCATAGAGACCTCGCCCTTCGAGGACCTCCGCACCGTCGCAACCATGACTGAGAACTCCAACCTAGTGCGCGCCCTCCTCTCGCGCATCGCCGAGTCTGGAGACGAGAACCTCTCGATCTTCTCTAACACCACTGTCTCCTCCATCGCCAACGGCTCCGACATTCCCGACGGCCCCGACCTCTCCGCCTGGCCCGTCCTCTCCCTCGCCCCGACGACCTCCTCCTCCGCACAACCACCCAAGCAGATCGCCGCCCGCCTCCTCGTTGGTGCTGACGGTATCAATAGCCCCGTCCGGCGCTTCGCCGACATCTCCACGTCAGGCTGGGACTACGACAGACACGGCGTCGTCGCGACGCTCTCCCTGTCCGACCTGGACCCTGTGCACAGCTCCCCCAACATCAAGACCGCCTTCCAGCGCTTCCTCCCCGCGCTCGGCGGTCCCATCGCCCTCCTGCCCCTCCCCAACAACACCGCCAGCCTCGTCTGGTCGACCACCGTCGCCAACGCGGCCTACCTCAAATCCCTGCCCCCGCGCGCCTTCATCGCGACGGTCAACGCCGCCTTCCGCCTCTCCATGACCGATCTAACCTACATGCTCCGCATGGAACGCCCCTCCGCCACCTCTCCCACATCCACCGACTCCTCCTCCTCCGCCATCGACCCGCACGAAGACGAACTCACCTGGCGCCTGCAACACACCCCGCAGCCGCGCAAACCCAGCCAGCTGCCGCCGCTCGTCACCGGCGTGCAGGAAGGCAGCGTGGCCTCCTTCCCGCTGCGCTTCCGGCACGCCTCGAGCTACATCTCGCCGCGCGTCGCGCTGGTCGGCGACGCGGCGCACGTCATCCACCCGCTCGCCGGCCAGGGCCTGAACCTGGGGCTCGGCGACGTGGCCGCGCTGGCCCAGACGGTCGAGTACGCCGCCACCCACGGCATGGACGCCGGCGACCTGCTGACCCTGGAGCGCTACGCCGGGGACCGCTTCGCGACCAACGCCAAGATCGGCGCCGCGTGCGACGTCCTGCACAAGCTGTACAACGTCCCCGGCAACGGGCCGGTGGCGTGGGCGCGCAGCTTCGGGCTGGATGTCATCGATTCGGTGCCCTTCGTCAAGGGCCTGTTGATGCGGGGTGCGCAGTGATTTCGTTGCCCAGTCAGCACCCCCCAGCATCTGTCTTCTCTTCTCGTGTATGACTATCTATATCACTTTCTTCTTTGCCCACTACATATCGGATTTGATTGGGTAGGGGTATGGTTGGCAGCAGCGTAAGTAGGTGTAGATGCACACTGCAGCGGTCCTGCACGCTTCCCAATGGGCATGTACTGTACCAAAGCCTTCACGCGAAGCATGTAGAAAATAAGAGTACACTGGCCCACTACCGCAGCAGTACACCCCTCTAATCCAAACACCAAAAAAAAAGTCTTCGAAACGCTTCCACGCTTTCAATTCGACTGCATTCTAAGTAAAAAAATCTGGGTATTCTTTCCAACAGTGTCCCCCCCCCCTCTTATTGAGATTTTTGCGGTGTATCTAATTTGCCCACATTGTAGTTTGGCTGCCTTTCCCCATTTCCTTCCCTTTTTGTTGTTATGGTAATTGTATAAGTTTTGGTCGTGAAGACATGAATCAAGCCTCTACCTTGGTCGCCTCCAATTGCTCGGTGATCTCCTGCACGTTGTGGCCGCCGCGCTTGTTGGCGACGCGGGTCTTGATCTCGGCCGGCAGGGCGGCCAGGTCGACCAGCACGCCTTCCTTCTCGGGGTGGCCGTCCTCGAGACCCATCTCCTTGATGCGGACCTTGCCGGCGGCGAGCTCGTCCTCGCCGAGGATGACGGCGAAGGGAACGCCGACTTGTTCGGCGGCCTTGAATTGTTGGGGGAGCTTGGGCTTGACCTTGTAGGAGAATTCGGCCTGTAGAGATGATCGGTTAGTGGGGGTTGGAGGGAGAGGATGGTTGTAGGGCTGAAGAGATATACCTTAACACCCGCGTTCCACAGCGACTGACACACGGTCATGCGCTCCTTCAGCATGCCGGTGAAGCCCTTGCCACCGAAGGCCATGACGTAGGCGTCGACCTCGCTGCTGCGGAGGGCCTCGGCGCTCTTCTCGCGCTCGAGGCGCGCCTTGGTGATGGAGAAGATGCGGTCGACACCGAAGGAGACGCCCACGCAGGGGATCTGGGCCTTGGGCAGGAACATGCCTACGAGGTTGTCGTAGCGGCCACCGGCGGCGACACTGCCCACGCCCAGGGTCGGGTCGTTGGACCGGTCGTCGTCCTCCAGGGTCTTGGCCTTGTCCTTCTTGCCCTTCTTCTGCACGGCCTGGGCCTCCGCGGATCCCTTCTGCACGGCGGGGGCGGAGCCCTCGGTGACGACCTCGTAGATCACGCCGGTGTAGTAGTCCAGCCCACGGGCGAGACTCAGGTCGAAGGAGATGCGGTCCAGCACGCCGAAGGCCTCGAGGTAGTCCATCAGCAGCGCCATGTCGTCGAGACCGGCCTTGGCGTTGGGGTTGGCCGTGAGGGTCTCGTCCGCGAGGAGGCCGTCCAGCAGCTCGCGGCCGCCCTTCTTCTGGGCGTAGCTCCAGATCCGGTCGGCGACGGCGCCGTCCAGCCCCTTCTCGTCGACCATCTCCTTGCGCACGTCCTCCCACGGCATCTTGTCCAGCTTGTCGACGGCGCTCGAGATGGGGCGGATCTTGTCGGCGGGGACGCCGCAGACCTCGAAGAGGCCGTCGAGGATCTTGCGGTGGTTGATCTTAATGTTGTAGCGGCCCTTCCAGCCCAGCTCCTCGAAGACCTCGGTGACGATGCGCAGGATCTCCGCGTCGGGCACCATGGGGTCGAAGGTGCCGGCGATGTCGAAGTCACACTGGTAGAACTCGCGCATGCGGCCCTTGCTGACGGCGGGCTGGTCGCGCCGGTACACCTTGGCGATGTGGTAGCGCTTCATGCTGCGCACGTCTGGGTTCATGGCCAGCCAGCGGGCGAAGGGCACGGTCAGGTCGTAGCGGAGCGAGCAGATCTCCCCACCCTGGTCCTGCAGGTCGTAGATGAGCTTCGAGTCCTCGCCATACTTGCCGGCCAGGATCTCGCGGAGTTCGAAAACGGGGGTGTCGAGGGCGGTGCCGCCGTGGCGCTTGAAGACGTCGGCGATGGTGGAGAAGATGCGGTCGCGGAGGAGGGCGTCGGACCCGGACCAGTCCTTCGTACCCTTGGGGGTCTTCAGGTTGAAGGAGACCTTGGATTCCTTGTCCTTAGGCATTGTGCTGTCTGAAGAGGGGGATGTGGAGGAGGATGAGGGGGGGAAAGAAGAAGTGGAAGAGGGGAAGGCCGGAGGAGTCAGAGAAGAGAAAGAGGAAGAAGAAGAACAAGATGAAGAATGGTGGGGGATGGTGGGGGCTTGATTGATTGGGCGGGCAACTGGTGGGCGGCCGCTGTCGCTGTTGCGGTTGTTAATGCTGTTAATGCTGCCAATGCTGCCAATGCTGCCAATGCTGCGAATTCTACCGCCGCTCTGATGAGTCAGTCTTCGTGCTACGCCAATTGCTCGTCGAGAGCAGCGCAGTGATGCGGATTGCAGTGAAGAGGGCATTCAAATGGACGAAGAATGTTAAGTTGTTCCCTCAGTTGTTGATTCCATCAATGAATGACCGGGAAAGAAAGTCGCCTCCTTCCTCCTTCCTGCTTCCCGCGGCTCGACCCGGCCGTTTCTCGGCCCTCAATTTCTCCGTTCTTCGCTCAATCTGGAAATTAGGGCAGATCTGTAGGGCATAGTTGCAACATTCATTCATCTTGTGTACTACGAGGTAGTATGACTGGGATACTAGATACGCAGTAGGACATAGAGACGTAGTAGACTTATCGCTGATCATAGTACACCATTCCTGATAGCCTTGGTTTCTATGTGCATCTCTGGTCTGAGCTACCAAAACCGTACAAGGTCTGCGACGTAGATCCCTACCATAGGTTTGGTTCATAACTGCTACAGCATAGCTAAGAGAAACTGATGATATGTGTTACCCCTTGAGATGAATCCAGAAGTTACTTTCGGGCCACATTTCCGTCCTGAGTTCTCCGTCTGGCAACTTGACTCTTCCCATACCCAAGCAACTGTACTCCGTGCTGTCAATCTTTAACAGAAGAACTACCATGCACTCAATACCAAGATCATATCGTTATGCATGTCTCGCTCTGCTACACAGAAGGTCGGCTCGATCAATACTGACGAATGCCGCATATCGAGCAAGCCCCTCAGCGAACTGCGTTCGACGTGCCCACGCACTCACTGCATCGGGCCGCTGAAGTGATCCATACTGGTAATGTTTTGACCTCCCTCACCCCAGTGCGTCCTGAAGCCAGGGCAGCAACGGAAAGACTGACTTCATGATCTAGATCTTCAGATGAGAGATCTACTTTTCCCTGCGGCTGCTCCAGCCAGAATGTCTAGGTACGAGGAAAATGTGATCAAATACCCGCTGTCACGGAAAATCCTCAAAGACCGAACCATCTACGCCACCAGATTGTTTCCTACAGGAGACGGACTTCCCGTGCTGTGCGATTTCGGAGAAGCACGATTCGGCGACCAGCACAATTGCGGGATGATTATGCCGGACTTCCACCGCGCTCCAGAGGTTATCCTGGGCTTTCCGGGCTGGGACTACCAAGTTGACAGCTGGGGGGTGGGGATGTTGGTAAGTCTTCCACATTACGCTTTTCGGCTTCGATCCGCGGACTCTATAAGGTTCGATGATCCAGGTTACTGACATGGAACTCTTCGGGGGAAATAGGCTTGGGATTTTATCAGTACTCGCCTGTTGATCACGAATCACAGGAGGGACGGTCTTTGGGATGATGGCGCCCACGTCGCGGAGTTGGTCGCTCTTCTCGGGCACCCCTCTCGCGAATTCATACGCCGCGGAACCCATGGCCATAATTTCTGGGATGAGAACGGGAACTGGACAGACCTGGTCACTATCCCGGACCGAAGTCTCGAACAAGCCGCGGCCGATATTGAAGGCGAAGACCCAGAGGATTTCCTGCGGTGATTGCGTCGAGCACTGCAGTGGGACCCCAGAGACCGTCCTACGATCTTGGATCTGTTCATGGACCCATGGCTAATGAAGGGGATGAGGGTGCGGAGAGATGACCAGGCCTTGAAGGACTATCCTCATCGTTGGGGTGGTTGAGATAATCGACTGATTCGGTGGTCGAAACAATCCCCTGGACTTTGCGGAAGTCAAGGCATTCATCCTGCGTCAGCTGAACAGGCATCTCAAGGGGTACTTGAAACTCATTCAATACGGAGGCTGACTTCAGGCTCTTGAGGATGGCCCCAGTTGTGGTCTCAGACCGGGAAGGCGATGGTTGTTTTCAGTTTCGCTGTGATCATTTACGTATCCTGCGCACTCGTGCTTTGTGTTTCTGTTGTTGTTGCCAACTGTGCTTATGCTTCTGAAGGGATCGGGAATTTTTCTACTTTGCCAATTAGTTTATGCTGCATGAACTCAGAATGAATAACCAACTCGTTATTTAGTCCAGAATTGAATGTCATCGGCCCAGCATTCGAACATAAGCAATGAGCTTACAGGACCTAGTGGGTAGCCGTGGTGTGGTTCGAATCGCCATTACTTAGCGCGTATCATTCTGGCCGTGGCTTACTCAATTGCCATTGGTGAGGACATGAGAACCACCGCTCACCAACGCTTTTTTCTACTCCGGACACTGACGCAGGCTGACAGCACCACTCTCCTACTCAACCATTGGAATGGGAGTCTCGTGCTCCTCCCCCATCCTTTGTGGGCAAAAGAATGGGGCCCATCCACCTAGTAAGCTTCATTGGCGGGATGGAAGAGGGGGGGGCGGGTGCATGGGGTGATGTGACCGAGTCACTGACCTGACAGACGGTCTGTACGGAGTTACAAACCGAAGTCAGGTACATTCATGTATGTACCTGTACTGTAAGAGTAAGAGCAGTCAGACTTTTGCGGGGCCCGCGTGGGAATTCACACCGATTGGCTCAGTGCTGCTCCAGCACAAGTGGGGGCGACAACTGGGACGGTTCTGCTTGGACTTATCCATAAATGAGTGGTTTTGCTTATCAGGACCAGGAGCATGACGATAGATTATCTCTCTTCTTGTAGAGTATCGGTCTAGCATTTTGCGACCGGTTTGTGTGACACCGCTTTCGAACAAGCTGAAACCGCCGAGCGACCCAAGGATGATGAAACGCAGACCGGACTCGTGGGGTCGTGGCTATGCTATTCCGACCTAGTCGGATATAGAGGCCTGATTTGAGTTTGACATCAGCATGCAACCGGCCATGCATGCCCATGCATTTATCCATCCTGGCAGGGCACACTTTTCCAAAGCGGTAACAGACACGAGTGGCTGGTCTGTGATACGTACCAGTATATCTTAACACCCAGGAGGACAGACGGCTAATGTTATACGAGTTTTCCCCTCACAAGCCTGCGTATGACGCTAGTATCTCAAATGCTGGGGGTGATGGGGAATGGTGGGGAGCTGCAATGAACTCGATTGGTCTTGTGGCCCTTTGATGATCCTTGTGTTTCCACGTGGTTCTGGTGTACCATCTTACAGTACCTTACCATTCCACAGAACCGTAAGGTATGACGTTTGGAAACGGCTTCCGCGGTCGGGGAGGAGGAGAGGAAGAGGAGGGGGAGAGAATCTCGAGATTCTCACTCCGTATCTGAGTCGGAAGTCTTCCACACCAACTACTGACTGACCATGAGGACCCATCCGTGGGGTAGAAAGGTGTGCAATTACCTTGCATGTGTTGAGAGTGCTCACTGCTCGCAGGATTGAACACTTTCAACCGGAATACTCGACCTCCGTCCAACAGGTTGCCTTCGTGCTTCCCCCTTATCATTCCCATATTTAGCTGTCTATCCCAGGGATGTCAAACTCACCTTCGTCACTCCTTAATTACAACCGCTAAGCGTGGCCGCCAGCACCGAAGCCGCCCGCCAAGGACGCCCGCTAGGACAGGCCCCGACCAGGGAGGTAAGTAAAATCACGCACTGCATTTTGTCCCGCTGCCTAGGGCAAAATCTCATGGCTTGTCATTCGTGGTCAATATTCCGATCCCTCTCCTTTTGTTCGTCTGCAGCAAACTGGAGAAGGGCGTGGCAGGGTAGGTCCAACGATCTTGTTTGGGTGCTCATACTTGCAGCTGCAGGTCAGTCGCTCGGCCGGGCTGTATCTTGATCGCTACTTGATAGCATTTGGGCGGCTGCGATGGCTCATTGGCGAGGTGAGCCATGCCAATGGGCTGGCAACCTATCATAATCGGGGGATGGCGAGGTCGATGCAACCCCGGCCGCAACCTTTGGCTGCACCTGATGCTGCGTGCTATATTATCCGAAGGATTGCTTCGCCCGGCTCTAGAAGGTTCACCCTCACTTTCTGGTTGCTTCTGCTGTGCTTCGTTCTGCAACCTGCCCCAATGGGCCTGACGGTGGTGCCTACCACGACGTCCTGGTTTAAGAAAGTGTCACACAACGTCGAGCCGTTGGTAAACGTGTGTAGCCTGCTTAGGCTGTGTAGCCTTTCGTAGCCCGCAGGGCTGCTGACTGGAATTCTCGGTGACTATTAGCTGGTCTAACCGAACAAGTACGGAGTAGACAACACTTGTTGGGCGGAGGGTGCGAGGGTGCTAGCAGTCCGACCGACCACCGGGTGGATGTGCTCCAGAGGTGTTTGCCTGTGGCCATTTAACATTGAGATTGGGCCTCGCGCACGTCCATGTTTCATTGTCTGGTGGAGGAGCTTAAACCAAGTCCTTTGAGTGACTGACGTAGAGATTCGAATGTCCCGGACCACATCTTCGTAGCAATCCGGCTTTCCCCCTCTTCCCCTCCTCCTTTTAGTAAGGAACCCAGGAATCAAGAAAACATTGGAATGAGGGAAACGGCCGGGAATTGTTCTCCTCTTTCTGAAGGAAGGGGTCACTTAGTCAGATTTCTGGTTTCTAGCATCAGCGCGGAGTTAAGGTGGGAATGGGCATGGAAGATAACTTACCGACTGAACCGACAGATGCCGCCAAAACCGATCTCCCACTCCCACGTTCACCGACAGCGGCCCAGCTTTCCCAGGCTTACCCAATCCATTGAACGTCTTGTCGGAGAATCAGTAACAAAGGCACATGATATAATTATGAATGAGATGATTGACAGTACCCTCATACTCATGTAGCAGGAAATCACCTCAATTCTCTCCTCTTTTCCCCTCATTTTCTCTTCAAGTCCCAAAGTATGACCGCTCAGGCCCGCCAGGGTGAGTGACATAGTACAGTACTTGATTGGGTAGGACAGTTAAGGACAGTTAAGATGGGACGATACCAATACCAGGTCCATACCGTACGTACGATACGAAAAGGCAAAGGAGTTCTCTCTAAGTTTGTACTGTACCTACTAGGTAAGTTAGTGGCCACTCCGTACGGGAACTGAACTATAACATACTTCGTTGGTGCTTCGAGGCTGTGACTAAGGAAAGGGTTCCTGACAGACAAGCCTGGGGATTCCCGCCATCTTCACCTACTGACTCTCTTCTTCTGGCTGCCTGTCTTGCCCACCTTCTCATCTCCTCCCCATTTCTCGTTTCTCTCTCCTACTCTCTCACCTCTCACTCTCCCACACTCTCACACTCTCACTCTCGCTTCCAATCTCTCTCACCCTTCTCTACGCCGATAATTACCCCCCCCCTCCCCTCTCGATCTTTTAATCCAATCTCCTGCGCCATTCTCGGTTCCCTCGTCTCCGACTCGGACCGCGGTCTTTCTCCACCTTTTCTCGAATCCGCCGCCCGTTCACGTTTCCGCCCCATTCCACGCTCTCACATCCACATATCCAGCCAGGCCCCAGCCCTGCAACAACTATCGGCGGTTCCGCGCACTGCGAATTCTTCTACCTGGTTCCTGTCGACAACCATCCCCGGATTCCTACAACGCGACTCCTCGAGGATCACTCCTGCCTGCCTTCCTGTCTTCCCATCGTGCCTGCTGACACTCCCCGATCCGCGCGTGGTTCTCATTGCCGCTCTCTTTTCTGGTCCGGGTGTCGGCTTCGGTTTCCCACCGTCAGTTGCCCGATGAGGCTGAATTAGGATTTACGAGATTGTGCGATAATCATGGGGTCTTTTCTGAGGAGTTTCCGGAGAGATGTGGTGAGTCTTTATCCTGGTCGGCCTGGTTTTCTGGATTCTTCGCGACCCATCGTCTCCCACTCGTCTGTGCCCGGCTGGTTTAGTATACCTACTCCCGGCGGCGCAATCGCTTTATCCAAATGCTGGAGAACCGTGCTGCCTCATTTCCGTTCATTGAGTGCGCTTCACGGTCGGGGCCGACGAGGATCCCATAGATTAATGCTTTTGTCCTCACCACTATTAAACGACGAATGTTAACCGTCTTGTCTTCAGGGACCCACGCCTTCGGTTGGGGCGCCCCCCGCCAAGAAAGAACCCCAGGCGCCGACGATGACCCCGTTAGAGAAAATGCTCCAGGATATGGGCTCGATCCGAGAAGATGGCAGTGACAAGTTCTTTGCGATGGAGAATGTAAGTCTGGCCCCACGACATTTCGCCCCTAGAACTTTGCTGATAGACTTCTCCTCGTCCAGTTCGGAAATACATGGTGAGTTGTTAACGCCCGTCGTCCGGTCTACTTACTTCAAGTACAGGCATATACTCCAAGTGACCGAATCACTAATGTCCGTGAATAGTTACTGTAACTCCATATTACAATGCCTCTATTATTCAGTACCATTCCGAGAAGCCGTTATAAACTATCCCACCAGAACACCGATAGAGAACCTGGAAGCCGCATTGGCCAAAAATCTCCATTACCAAAACCCGGCTGCTAATATGGAAGCGGAGGCACTGGCAGAGAAGCAGAAGGCTGCTACGCCACAGCGTCCAGGGGCGCCCCCGAATCAGCCACAAAAACCCGAAGATAAAGACTCACCGGAATACAAGAAGAAGATGGCCTTACAGACTCTCCCCCTTCTAGAAACCACAAACAACTCAGCCAGTTACGGAATGTCGGAATCACTATTTACATCGCTGAAGGATATATTTGAGTCGATTGTGGCGAGTCAGGCTCGTCTTGGTATAACACGACCACAGCGCTTGTTGGAACTCCTCCGTCGGGACCATGAGATGTTTCGGACTGCCATGCATCAGGACGCCCATGAGTTCTTGATCCTTTTACTGAACGAGGTGGTAGCGAATGTCGAAGCGGAGGCCATGAAACAGCCCGAGAGGAGCTTGCCACCCGCCGAAAGCATGGAATCCTCACAACACTCTCTAAGTTCTGGTTCCAAGACCCCGAACACCACGCGATGGGTGCACGAGTTGTTCGAAGGAACCTTAACGTCGGAAACACAATGTTTGACCTGCGAGAACGTCTCTCAGCGAGATGAGATCTTCCTAGATCTGTCGGTGGATCTGGAACAGCATTCGTCGGTTACCTCGTGTTTGAGGAAATTCTCCGCAGAAGAGATGCTCTGCGAGCGGAATAAATTCCACTGTGACAACTGCGGCGGTCTGCAGGAGGCAGAAAAGCGGATGAAAATCAAACGCCTTCCCCGCATCTTGGCTCTCCATCTCAAGCGCTTCAAATACACGGAGGACTTGCAAAAATTACAAAAGTTGTTCCACCGAGTCGTCTACCCGTACCACCTGCGTCTTTTCAACACAACGGACGATGCAGAGGATCCTGACCGATTGTACGAGCTGTATGCAGTCGTGGTGCATATCGGAGGCGGTCCCTACCACGGTCATTATGTGGCTATCATCAAGACTCAGGATCGCGGATGGTTGCTCTTTGATGATGAGATGGTGGAGCCTGTGGACAAGAACTACGTGCGGAACTTCTTTGGAGATAAACCCGGACTCGCCTGCGCCTACGTTCTGTTCTACCAGGAAACTACTATGGAGGCTGTCATGAAGGAACAAGAACAGGAGGATCTCAATGCCACCATGGCAGATCTCAATTTGAATGAGACCACCGTGAAGCAGAATGGATTTGTCTCGCCGCCCGTGCTATCTCATGTCCACAGTGCATCGCAAATCCCCTCGCAGGAGGACCCTCACCGATTCACCGGCCTAAAACGCGCGCCGACGGCGCCTCAGCTCCCGACTCACACCGAGCATATCGGCGCCGAAGCCGTTCCTCCCCATACTCCGGCAGCCGTGCCCCCTCCGGTGCCCCCTATTCCTGAGGTCCACACGCGACCACTGAGCCCCAAGAAGAGTGACATTCAATCCAAGAAGGAACGGGCCAAGGAGGAAAAGGAACGGAAAGCAGCCGAGAAAGAGCTAGAAAAGCAGCGCCGAAAGGAGCAAGAAGCTCGGTTCAAGGAGAACAAAGAGAACCAGCGACGCGAGGAAGCTGAGATCAAGGCGGCGATTGAGGCCAGCCGAGCGTCTAAGGCCGATGAAGACCGACGCAATGACGGTGGCAAGAGTGGTGGATTGAGTCGACTCAAACGAGGCAGCAAGAGCTTCAGCCAGAGACTGGGCAAGGACAGGGAAAGTCGGGCGTCGTCCTCCGGGTCCCCCGCAGTGCCCAATTCCGAGACGTCCAGTTCAAGCAATATGCCACCTGAGCCACTCCAACCCTTGTCTCCTCAGAAGATTACGCCTCCCGAGACACTTCTAGTCCCTCACGATGATGATCCGGATTCTCTCAAGAGCCCTAAGAGCGATCGGCAGACTCATGGGAAATGGCGGAGTTTCAGCATTAGAAAGAAGTCCTTCAGTATTCTTTCGTGAACATGATGGTGAACATGATGGCCTGTTACTCGTCACCACGTGTATCAGATCTACACTTTTCTTGCACATAAAAGACGCATTTCTGTCGTACATATTGTTTTTCTCCATGTATTATCACCCTTGCCTTCCAGACTGGATTCGTTTTGACTTTGACGACGTGGCCCATCCCTATCATGCATGCGGAAAGGACTGCGCGTCAACGAACAGGATCCGGTTTCTGTTTTACTTGCACGATTGTCATTCTGCCAGCTCCTACCTGCCTGCATCTTGGTGCATTGACCAAATCACTCTCGGTCTGCATATTGATTTAGCCTTCTCTTCATCTCTTCTTTTTTTCTGGTTCTCCGATTTAATCTCCCTGTGATACCCATGCCTGGGTCACACCACTGGGCAAATGGGGCGTTCGGCGAAAGTGTTTTCTGTTCCAATGGTTTTATTCCGGTGAGATGACACCAGGGGGTGGATGCTCAATTCGTGTTTATCAAATAGTTTGAGGGAGGATATATTCGCTGGTGCTTTCCCCCCCTGAACACAGGAGTGGTACTTCGTGCTTACGCCCCACCTCGACTGGACATATCATGCATGGAACTCGCCTGGGCCAAGTCTTGCGGGTACGCGCAGTATATAGACCTTGATACCAATGTGATATGTATGCGAAGAGTGTTTTCTTTTTGCAGGGTATTTTGAAAGACGCTGTCCCCTTCCAGCCTATCCGCGCAGGACTGACACAACCACTATCTTTCATGGCCTTGCTGGTAATTCATATGCGCTTGCGTCCAGCATCTTCGCGGGTAGGACCCCGACCGCAGTGATATCATTTCCTAACCGATATCCTCTACAGCCCCCATATTCGCGAGACCTATCCATCCGTTGAAATCTCGACATCACATATATGTGTATATCCCATACCGAGCAGACATCAATACAACTGCCATTTCTATTCCCATAATATATCACTCCTTGTTCTTACTCCCCAATCCTTTGACTCCCCACACAACCGAACCGGCAAAAAGAAGCACGGGAACACCTCGTAGAATTTCGCTGCTGAATATAGTATAAGAATATGTAGGTAGATAAGGTATACATGACAGATCGGGATTCGTGAAGTGCGGGTAAAAACAAGTCGAGAAGCTGTTGAGAGGCATCGAATGATTTCTTTTTGTTTTTTTTTGTTTTGTTTTGGTTTGGGGTAAATTAACCCAGGATAAGCTCGTAGATGATGACGATGGTATTGATCACGATTAAGGGTACTGTATACCGATCCCCCTACCCTCCGTCGGAGGCAGGGGGAATTTGGAGGTTAGTTGGTTTCTGGACTCGCGGTGTAGTGCGGGAGATGAGTGGTTTTGCGCGAGGGTGTCTGGGGGGAGGGGGAAAGCTCGGAGTATATGGCTTGAGGTCTCGGTGGGATAGGGCATAGGGAGGAAAAAGAACGTACTTCGCATGACGGTCCGGACACTGGCGATCAGATTGATGGTTTTGGCCTTGACGCTGGTGTTGTCGTAGGTTGCGCCGAAGGCTGCGTCGGCTTGCATGCGGCCCCAGCCGACTGTTTGGGAGGGAGGGAGCTTGGTTAGCTGAGGAGTTCCAAAGGGGGGAAGGTTCTGGAGGTTGAGGTTCTCCGGGAGCTGTGTGGACGTACTTCTGGCGAGGAAGCGGTCTTCGGAGAGGATGGCGAGGGAGTTGATGAAGAGGATGACGACTGCGGAGACAGAAGACGCGATGGTTAGTTTCGGAGGTTGGCTTGCGGATTGAATTCGGGAAGCTCAATGGATTGGTGACTCGGGGAGAGAGGGGACGGACCGTAGAACAGTTTCCCTAGGCCGAAGAAGAACATCTTGGCGGGAGGTTTGCAGGAATGTCGAGGAGGGTTGGTGGTGGGAGGTTGTTGATGATCGGTGGAAGCGGAGAGAGTGTGTGTACTTTGTGGTGTTCAAGGTTGGATGACGGCGGAGTGGGAAGGGAAGTTGCGGGAAGGCATAGGCACGCACCCACTCATGTGATTTTGGCCATCTGTCTTCATACTTCGAACTTCTTTGCTTCCTCGTATGCATTGAACACGACTGTATCCTCGCAAGGTCAGAACAATAGGGTCATCATGAGTGCGAGAGATGCTGGTAAGTGCTATGTTCATTCTCGTTAGAATTATAAAACGATTAACCTTTCTCCAGTCTACGTGCTGCTCCTCGCCGCAGTGCCCGCCCTTATTCTCCTCCATTTGGTTGTTGCGCCATACACCAAGGTAGAGGAGTCTTTCCATATACAAGCCATTCATGATATTCTGGCATACGGGATCCCCACGAGCAATGTCAGTGAGACACTTCGTGCCGACTATGACCATTTCACCTTTCCGGGTGCTGTTCCTCGGACATTCGTCGGCGCCGCGCTGCTGGCCGGTCTGGCGCGGCCGTTCATCTGGTTGCAGCACTCAGTCGACAGGCAATTGCTTGGTGAGTAGCGCGAAAGCTGTTCTCCGCCGTAAGGTCGATGGCTAAAGGGTCATTTCTTCAGCCCGAGCTATTCTAGGTCTATTTAATGCCGCTTCGTTGCTGTCATTTGCGGGAGGTCTACGGCGTACTGCCGGCAAAACAACCGCCATCTGGTACCTTTTGTTCCAAAGCAGCCAATTCCACGTACTGTACTATGCGTCGCGGACGCTCTCAAACATGTTCGCATTTGGAATGACTACCCTGGCGTTGCGTTACCTTCTTTCAGAGCCATCACTGTCTACCGCAGCGTATCGAAGACGCTCACGACTCGCTCTGTGTCTGCTGACAGCAGCTGGCATCATCTTCCGCTCCGAGCTTGCCATCTTCCTCGCAACCAACACGATCTTCCTTTTCGCGACCCGCCGTATCAGCGTCGTACATGAGATCATTCCCGCCGGGATCGTGGGCCTTCTTATCGGCTTAACTACGACTGTGGTCGTGGATTCTTTCTTCTGGCAGCAATTTCCCCTGTGGCCCGAATTCGAGGCGTTCAAGTTTAATGTTATCCACGGTCAAGCGTCAGCCTGGGGCATTGACCCGTGGTACTTTTACTTTATTAATGCCGTCCCTCGTCTCCTCCTCAACCCTCTGACTTATCTTGTTGGCATTCCCATCTCGCTTCTGCAACCCGCCACCCGCTCCGTCGCAGCATCTCTCCTCATTCCCTCTCTTGTTTTCCTCGCCATCTACAGCGCCCAGCCTCACAAGGAATGGCGATTCGTCATCTATACCATCCCTGCCCTCACCGCAGTCTCCGCTCAAGGCGCCTCCTACATCTGGACACACCGCGCCAAATCGATCATCTACCGTTTTCTCTCCCTGGCCCTGCTAGCCTCAACCCTAGCTTCCTTTATCGTCTCCACTTTCGTCCTCCTGCCCGCCTCCTCCGCCAACTACCCCGGCGCACACGCCCTGCACTCCCTCCACAACCATGCTATCCCTCCCTCAGACAACGCCTCCAATGTATCAGTCTATCTTGGCAATCTGGCCTGCCAGACTGGCGTGACCCGCTTCCTCCAGTTCCCCACCAGCCAGTCCGACTCGCCAATCTGGAACTACGATAAAACTGAATCTCCTCTCCTCAAGTCGGACCCTACCTTCTGGTCCAAATTTGACTATGCCCTAGTCGAGCCCGGCGAGGAAGCCGAGCTCATCCTGTCTTCCTCCTCCGTGGTTGGGAAATGGCGACCCATTGATTCTGTTTCCGGTTTCGCGGGACTTCGTGTCCTCCGGCCTGGTGATGAAGCTCTCGGCACTGTTGAAGGAGATCTCCTGGTATATGTTGTGGGAGACAGAGGAGTTGAGATCTGGAGTAGACTTCGCGAGCTTGCTCGACGGACGGTCACGCGAGGATGGTGGGTGGAGGTAAGGATGGAGAGCAAGGTTCTGATCCTTGGGAGAGATGGCGTTGAGACAGTTTGAATTTTCTAGACTACCACTTTTGTTTACAACTGGGATGTAGCTACTATATAGAGCCAATATGGTTACAGCGAGCTCCAACCAAAAAAAAGCATTAGACTTAGTTTTGAGACTTTCCACAGGTGTGGAAAGATCTAAGTATCCTCATACTGTATTGTTTCTGACTGAAATCTTGATAGGCAGCCTAGCTGCTCATCATACTTCTCATACCTCGCATCAGCTCATAACAATCTCTCATAACATTAGTTGGATAACGGAACATCTGAAGAGATGATAGCGAGGCACCCCGGTTCTTGTATCATGCACAGTCCCAAATCAAACAACCCCAAGTGTGATCTCTTTGTTTGGGCTATCAGTCTGTGAATCACTGATATTAACAATTTCCACCAAACAAGCAAGCTTCTTCGGTAGCGAACTGGGTGTAATCTTTAAAAATTCTCTCTGAGTTGTTGATCTGGCCGGAAGCGAGTTGATATTAGTCGTGTAATCACCCCAGATACCAGCCACCTCTGATAACGAGCTATATTCTATCCCAACATTCACTGTGATCACCAAGAATCTCCGGTAGCGAGCTGATCTGACACCAGAATCACTCCTGATATCAAACTATCTCCGGTAGCGAGCTGGATGTAATCTTAATGTTCGCCAACGTGCCGTGTGGCCTTCGTGGTATATAAAAACCCCCTCGATATCTCTCCTTCTTCATCCTGTCTTCTTCCTCACCACCACCCACTTTCTTTCTCATCCTTCCTATTGTCTTGAGAACCTCCAACAGTCCTTTCATCCTGAAATTTTTCTCAACATCCACTCATTCCATCGTTCACGATGTTCCGTCTCAAGAATCTCCTTGTTTTCCTTCTGGTGTTTGGGTTGTTCATGCAGACTGCCCTGACCAACCCTCAGAGTCCCACTTCCACTGATGTTGTGAACATCGACCACCTGGACTCGCACGAGGACAGCCCTGGTGAAGAACCTGACACCCAGCCTACTGCAGACCATGATGTCCCCTCCGTGTCCGACGAAGCTGTCCCTGATGACGCCGTTCTTGATGGTGACGACCACAGCGAGGGCCTTATCCAGGGCGGAGGAAAGAACCAGGCCCCACGTCCCGGCACTGTAAGTGGAGAAGGTTTATCGATTCCCTGTAACTGTTGCTGACTTTTGTCTTGCTGTTCTAGTGGAAAAGTTGTGTGGGCTATTGCGACGTAAACAAATGGTGTCACTGCCCATATACTCGTTGCCGTTGCTGGCTTCCTCATTACCCGTGCAGATGCATCAACCACATCAAGTCTCGCGATGAGTCCGCGGAAGACGATGGTCAGAGCGATGTGGGTGGTTTTGATGCTGTTGATGGCTTGAATACCACTGATCACTCGGAACTTGCTGATAATTCGAACACCACCGATGACTCGGAAATCCCTGTTGGTCTGGATACCGCTGATGAGTCGACCACCACCGATGATTTGGACACCCCTGCTGATCTGAACACCACGGATGATTCGATCACCACTTCTGGTCTGAACCTCACCGAAAATCCAAACAACCAGACGCTGGCTATCCTGCCTCGCTTTGTAAGTCATGGACCGGGTGCCTCTGATACCTTGTCATTTGCCCTCGCTGACTATCTTCCTCTTTAGCCTCCCCCGCAATGCAGGGGGATCTGCAATCTGAAGCACAAGTGCCACTGCGAAAATGGCCCTATAACCCGTTGCCGTTGCCCCAGGATTGGCATCCCATGCTCGTGCACGCGCTACCTTGATAGTCCAGCTGCCCGACTGGAAAACTTCCCCACCGATGAGGGTTCGAACACGACCTCGACCTTGAACTCCACCTCGACCCCGAACACGACATCCACCCTGAACACTCGCTCGGCCTCGCACACCGATGAGGATCTGGACACCAACGAGCAGCAGGAAACTAATGAGGAGTCGGACACCAACGAACAGTTGGATACCAACGAGGAAGTGGAGACTACCCCGGTGTCACATCTCGCTCAAGCGGTAAGCCCCTAGCACTTCTCCCGATGTTCTTTCGAGTCCTTTACTGACGTTTCTCACACAGCCCGCCGGGCCTTGCAAGGGTCGCTGCACTATTCATGGAAAGTGTATGTGTGGAGGCTTGACCAAATGTACTTGTCGCCACGCTGGCCAGACCTGCTCGTGCGTCAACTGAGAAGCTGTCTTTGGAATCGCTTGTTGGCATGTTTGGAGAATGCTTAGAGTGATTTAGACTTGCTTTGGAGCTTTCTTGTTGTTGTTGTCGTTGTTGGAGCCTTGGAATTGTGTTGTGCTTTTTCTCTGGCAAAAGTTGTTGTTGTTGGGCGTTGTGCTCGGATCATGTATCTATCATGTTAACCTTTGTGGCACTGCCATTTGAATAAAGAGAGAGTAAAAAGTCTTCGATCAACTCTGAGTGTTTCTTCGAACTTGTACCTGTACCTGTATAAGCAGTAGAGTGAGCGTAGCAACTCCCTCCGACTTGTGATATATCGCGTCGACGCACCGCGCTTGCCTGGTGCGAACTACCTAGCACTCGGCCACCCTCTCCCTTCAAATCTTGCTCAGGTAAAAGACACAAATTTCGATATCTGGATCCCATCGAGACATACACACGCTGGAATGCTTCTAGAACTTACTGTCTGCCTGTCAAGATACTACCTCGCACAACGCATTTTACACACCACTTCCCTCTTCTTAGCAAGAGAACCCAGGTACTTTACCTCACCTCAAACAGCAACCTTAAGCATGAATAAACAAGCAGTCTAAGTAGAAATCTTCGATGCAAACCGAACAGCTACCCGAAAATCATCGATCTCGGATGAGCTCGAAAATGGATAACGCTAAAAGGCCAGTGACGCCATAGGATCGTCCCCCTTAATCGGATCCATCAGATTCCCTATCTCTACCCGTCACATTGACTTGCTTCTCTTTGCAGACGACACCTGCGGCTGTCATGCACGGCGATGCAATTATCTGTCGACGTGGTGGTCCGCTGCAGACGCCACTCTTCCACAAGAGAGAGGGAGAGAGGGGGGAGACCCCCGACTCAGACACCAGCCTGTCGAAGTCGCTCGCGCAAGAGCACGAGAGATAGTCGATAGGTCACTTTGCTGATGAGAAGATTGAGCCCTGTGCGGCATTTTGACAGGATCTTGGGTACGACGGTATGCTGTCACCCGGAGATCACTATGTGCCTCCCTGTGCTGCGTCAAGGAAGAGAGCTTTTAGAGGGCGAGAAAGGAGACGGAACACGATTGTACTGGCCATACTCCCTGGAGTATGACTGGATACAGTACTATACATATGAGCATATGGCAGCGATCGCCACGGAATCTCTTTGCATCATTGAGAGGGGTAGAGAGATTATGCATCACGTCCGCCCAACCCTGCTAGTGTTGCTGCTACTAGCAGGGGGAAAGGGGGTTGCGGCCGGATAATATAGGCGTAAGATCTCTATAGGTCTGGAGGATTTGTTATCAAGCTCCGGGTTGCCGTGTCTTTTGTGATACCCCGCGAATGAGGATATTCTTAGAAAACGCACGTCCCCTATAAAAGCGGATGAAGGCACCGGTAAGTACTCCGTACCGTGCTCAATTGCCTCGACTCTGAGGGTTCGGCCAGATTTGACGTACTCAAGTAGTTGAGCTTGACCCGCAAAAATCTGTAGAGGATCACTATAAGATAGTCAGTCAGATTGCGATATGCATCCAGTTGATTTTGATTGGGTTGATGACGATGATGATGATGATGATGAAATGCCAATCGATGTCACCTGATCCACTCGGGGTGGAGCTTCGATCCAATCAAGGCTCGGGCTGGAATTGACAGCTCGCATTCCATTCAAACACTCCAAACATGCAAACATGATCGAGTCTCGCCCTCGGAGGAAGGCGAGGCGAGGCGAGGCGAGTTTAGAGAATCTCCCCGTTGGATCTCTTCCATCAGTTCATCTTTCTCATCTTCCTCATCGACTAACCCTCGAACACTCAAGAAGAGAGCGTGTCTGGCACGCGCTCTCTATTCCTTCTCCCTTCCTCATTTCTTTCCTTTTCTCCGACATTACCATTCTCACTGATAAGATTGGAGGCCAATCTTCAATTGGTCACCTCCCATCGCTCCATATCTCCGCCTTTCCCTCACCCCTTCTCCTCTGTCCTCCCAAAACTTGTTGAACATGGAACTTGGTTTCCCACGAGGGCTCGGGCAGAACCAAAACCAGGCGTACGGACACCGTCAGCCGCCAGTCGAGCAAAACTCAAAACCATCCGAAGGTCAGCTGCCAAACTTCCCGTATAGCGTCATGGATGCGCGGAGCATCCCACGCACCCTCGGCCCAGCCGCCTCCACTCCCGGCCCCGGTATACTCGAACAACAGCACCGGCAACATTCATCTTCGACCTCATCGTCAACCACACCCTCATCTATACCTCCCACCGGTCGTCCCACTTCGCCTCCCGTGGCTGCCACCGGCACCGCAGCAATCCACTCCGCCGCCGCGGCCGCGGCCGCGGCCGGCAGCGCCGAAGTTGGCCAGCAGTCGGCCGACTCCCTTGCGCACGGCAACGGCAACGGCAACGGCAACGGCAACGGCAACGGCAACGGTGAAAATTGGGCCTCGCGGGTCCTGCAGGAGATGAAGGACTTGATGCTTCTGCTGAGCCGCGAAGGTCGAGTTCTATATGCATCACCCTCGTGCGTGGAGATCACGGGTTTCGAAGCCCAGTCGCTCGAGAAAAGCGATCTGTTCCGCTATGTTCACGAGGACGACAAGTCCGTTCTCACCCAGGAATTGAAAGAATGTATTCAGACCGGCCGGCTGTTGCGCTGCCATTTCCGCTTCTGTAAGCCAGATAGCACCTTCTGTCTGCTCGAGGCGCACGGACATCCACATATCGCTCCCTCGGATCCCTCGTCGATGCCCAGTGGTCCTGGTGGTGGCAATGGTGGTCGAAGCGCCAGCAGCGGCAGCCCCAGTGCGAGCAGCAACGGCAACAACAGCAGTAGTGATAGTAGCAGTAATGGTATCAACAGTGGATTGGGCTCAAATGGTCACAGAAGACTTCCACGACCGCTATCCCCGTCGCCACCGCAGCAGCTGCAGCAGCAGCAGAAACAAACAGAATGCCGAGGGATTTTCCTCGTCTGTCGCCCTTACCCGACGCGGGGAGCCCAACTCCTAAACTCCTTCCTTGAGCACAAGATCGAGAACATCCGCCTCAACCAGCGCATCGCGCAACTCAAGGAAGAGGAAGAAGAAGAGCTCAACGCGACACAGCAATCTTTCAACAGCAGTAATAGCGGTGCCAGCAACAACAACAACAGAGATGCCCATATTGTCCACACCTCGACCACCACCACCCGCCAAACATACATCACGACCACGCAGACCGTCACCCAATCCACCACCAACCGGGCACCTGCCCGCGACACCCCCTCCACTTCCGGCGAGGACAACGAATCCTCCGACACGGTCACGAGCAACGCCGACGATGCGGATTCGCGCTCGTTCCCCGGCATGGAGGGCGTCATGGACCGCCTGCCTGCGGTCGACGACATGTCGCACATCGAGGGCATTGAAGTCATGACAGGTCTGTACTATGGAGAGGGCGAACGGTCCCAGGGTCTGAGTACCGGCCAAAAACACGGTCGTTTGGTCCACTACTCGGACATCGGTGGCGAGTCGTCTGGCAACGATCCCCAGGCAAACCGAGGAGTCGGGGATGGGGACCGGAGGAAGCGACTCAAGGGCGAGTATATGTGTACGGACTGCGGGACGAGTGATTCGCCCGAGTGGCGGAAGGGGCCCGAGGGTCCGAAGACGTTGTGTAATGCTTGTGGATGTAAGTTGATGCTCCTGCCCGTCTGACCCCCCCCTCTCTCCCACTCATTGCTTTGTTCGCACTGGGCCTTTTTCTTTTCTTTTTCTTTTCCCTTTCGTTCAACAGAAGACCATAAACTAACTACATAATTTAGTACGCTGGGCTAAAAAAGAAAAGAAACGCCAGGATCCCTGACCAGCAAAAATCTCTACTCCGTACTCTTCCCCGGTCTTGTCTTTGCAAGGTGGGTGTAATGGGGGAAATTTCAAGGGCCATTGACGCGACGTTTGTCATGATTGTTACTGTACTACCTGCATTAATTGCCACTTAGGGTTGGACATTGAGAACCCCCCCTTGCGAGGATACCCCCTGCTTCTTTCTCTTTTCGTTTCTTGGGATGTTTCGTTTTTTCTTTTTCCCCTTGGCTTGTGGACTGGTTTGTCTGTGGATCTTACTGCCAATGCTTTCGATTATGACTTTGTGTCTATGGTGGCATGATATTATCCGGGATATGTATATTCGGACTAAAATCGAATGGACTCGATGTCGCCTCCGGTTCGAATTCATGATCCACGCATGATCTTCATTTTGGGGCAGTGGGAAATGAGCTATGTTCAGATTGTGCATGGGACGACAAGATTAAACTATTGACTCTTATTCCGGAAGGGGAAATGGGGTATGAACAATGCATTAGACATGACAATCGATAATCGTGGCAACAAGGGAAAAGGAGAGACATGCTTGAACCGTGACGAGGAAATATGCACACGGCCAGACAGATTCACGGCTTCATGAACGATCCCGTCCGCTCAGTAACAACTCGTCCTTTCATCACCGACGATCCCACCGGACTCAATTCTTGACGGCCTTCTTCGGTGGCGGTGGGAAGTAGGGTTGCGGCTGGGGCTGATGGCCCGACAGCGTCTCCGTCGAGTCTTGTTGCATCGAGCGCCGTGGGTTCGGGGTGCTGAAGTGTTGGCGCAGGGGCAGGTCCGAACTCGAACCGCCGTCGCTCGGCGCCGCGGTGACGTGGTGCATGGGGGACTTGGGAGGTATGCCCAGGGGCTGCATCGTGGTCATGGGGATGCCCGGCGACTTGAGCACAAAGTCCTCGAACTCCTTCATGGCCCGCTCGTCTTCCCGGCGCTCCTCGATCTCCATGCGCTCTTCCTCGGTGATGATGCAGTTGCGTAGGCTGAGGCAGGCGATGCCAAAGTAGAAGAGACTGAAGTGCGTTTGTTAGCTTGCGGAGGCCTTTGAACCAGTTCCAGAGTAAGAAAGAGGTCAACATACATGATGATGATGGAGAACGCAAATAGTGCTTTTGCTTGCTGGCAGTAATGCACATTCGACTTCACGTAGGCCACGGAGCATTTCTTGGTGATATACCACGGTGCGCCAGGCTGAGGGTGGTCGGGGTCCGACATGTCGGGGCCGGCTTGATACCGCACTGAGTAAATCCAAACAGCGACCAAGCCAGCGTGAACAAAGGCGCACACGGGCGGGTAGAGCATGTGAAGGATGTGAAGTGGAATCTTGGTGATCCACATGAAAACAGCCAAGATACCGAGGACGAGGTTGTACTTGGTGATACTTTTAGAAGAATCGAGTTAGCTTTTGAGAGGTCCTACCCTTTCCGAAGAGACTGAGCTTCGGTAGTTGCAGGGGTTCGAAAACATACAGTGAGCTCCAAACCATCGGGGTCGTGAACGGGCGGTGATTAGCCGCTGCGTAGAGAGCCTCATTTGGGTTACTGTTGAAGCCATTGTCGGCGCCATCCTGCCAGAGCTTCGTGCGGTAGAGGTCATGATTCGCGATACCGGTCAATGTTAGGATGATGACCACCAGCGGCAGTTCAACGCCCATCAGTATGTACAGGAGATTATGATTCCGCCATCGTGTCGGGAAGTAAAACCTCTTGGAACCGAACATGGTGAGAGGAGGAGGGGAGAGCAATCGGTGTGAATAGTACTGCTTCTCTATTCAATGCCAAGATCCCTCTTCAGATCTGGCAGACGGGGGACTGCGAAAGAAACCGTCCCCTTGAAACCCAGAATCCTGCGTTGTCTGGCGCTTCGAGCTCGTATTTTCACCAAGATGTGTTGGAATGGGCCAGAGCCGGCTGGCTGGGAGTTTTTCAGTGCAGGGACATCAAAGACAAAGCCGAACAAGCTGAAACGCGAACGTATAGGCAGAGAGCATATGTCCCTTTGCAAGCAGGAGGGAAGGAATCAGAGAGGGCGTCTGTTGGAATAGGGCGGGCGCATAGATATGAAGTACCGGCGCCTCCCCGTAGGGAAGAACCCCCAGGTCGAATGGTTCTGGCTCCATGGGCACGATGCGTGCGGAGAGGGGCAAATGATCACAAACTATGGCGGAGAGAGCACCGGTTGCATGTTTCTTACAGGTGCATCTGGCCAATGCGTGTCGGCCAGGAAGCGCCCGCACCTAGGGCTTGTCGCCAATGAGGCGCCAGAGTGGGCAGTTTGGCTGCCGGCCGTCACACACTAGAGCCGTGTGATGGTGAAGAAAGATCTGCATCCACGCACCGAGAGGCTTGCTTCTGCAATGAGGGGGAGTAAGCCTGGCAAAGATTGACTACCCACAGGTACTCGTTGAACGGCCGTGCTCACTTGAGATCGAAGCGCTCGGGTGGAGCATCCAACCATGACTGGTGCTGCTATTGTGACGGTTCATGCATGATTTGAGGTTGAGTATTGCCCTCATACGAAGGGCATAAGTGTGCCATCGATTGTGTTCTCAGATGTATGCTTCTAAATGATCGTAGAAGTCAAAAACTGAAGCAGAATCTCTTGAATCTCGAAGATGGTAGTAGTACGGAGTAGTACGGAGTAGTTGGAGATGGTTGGAGAAACAAAAGGAGGAAACAAGAGCAGCCGAGCACATGACATGGACGTCACCACCTCGAATCACAGCTCACTTTCAACCTTCGTATAATTAACGATCCAAACAAAATCCTACGAAGCCAACAGTCAATTATAAATCCACAACCTCGAATCAAGCGCTCGGGTAAGGTATTATCAAACCGCGCGGATCTAACCATCACCAAGATTGGTGCCTCTTGGATGCGCAGTCACACCGTGCTACGCGGCCTGTCACGCCATCTCCAACAATCCCCGGGTCTCATTAAGCGCCAACAATCGGCTACAACGCTACAGCGTTACCAGATGAGTGCCGCAGCGAGTGGGAAGGGCACATTGCCCCATCAGATGCGCACTGCCGCCGAGCCCCGCCAGAATCGACTATACAACGTCCGCCTGTCGCATATCGAGCAGGTCAACCCATGCGTGCGACTGCTGCAACTAACCATCCCCCCCGAGGTGCAGAGTCCGGAGGAGAACAACCAAGAAAGCGACCAAGAAGTAAGAGCTTGCTCTAGCCCTCACGATCTTCTATCGCTCTCGCTCTGTGTCATACCAATTGCTCTCCACTCGTAACCCTCGTCGCACTAACCACGTCCCCCCCAATACAGTCCCACCCCGAACCATTGACCTTCCTCCCAGGCCAATGGCTCGACGTCCATATCCCCTCCATCTCCAACGCAGGAGGCTTCAGTATCACATCCACCCCCGCGGACGCACAAGTCCTTCCCTCGCTGGCCGAGACAGCCTCCGTGGAAGCCATCGCCAACGATGAAGCGGGCCTGCCCCCGCTCAACTCCGGGGGTCGGTCGCCATACGTCGAGCTCGCCGTGCGCCACGCGCCCTCGAATCCGGCCAGCGCGTGGCTCTGGAGGCCCACGGAGGAGATCCTGGGTTCCGAGCTTAGCATCCGTGTGGGAGGGAGCTTTGTGTGGCCGCCGTCCGGGGTGCGGTTGACTGATATCCAGAATGTGGTTTTCATTGCCGGAGGAGTGGGAATTAAGTGAGCTTGCCCCGTCCGACCCTCTCTTATTTTTGCTACCTTTATAGCATTGAGCACCCTGGGTTAGTCCGCGTCTCCGGACTGGCTTACACTGTGTTGTTACGAATTGCAAAGTGGTAGTTGGGGCTGCCAGAGCAGTACGGGATGCAGTCCCCATTTAGCCTCAAACTTCTTCACTCCTCAAACCCCAATGATCTCCTTCTCATCATGATCGAATGACAACAAAAGAAGCCCAGCTAACCAACAACCTCCAGCCCTCTCATCTCCATGCTCTCCCATCTAAACAATGACGATGAGATAACCACCACGCTCCGCCATCCATCCTTCAACATCCACTTCCTGTATTCCACCAAACTCCCCCAGCCAGGGACGACGACAACAACAGCAACAGCAACAGCACCCGCACCCGCACCCGCACCCATTACCCAATCCCCCGAGAGCGCACTGGACCAGATCCTCTTCCTCTCCCGACTCCGACATATCGTAAACATCCAGTCGCAGCTCCGTCGTCTCCGGATCACGCTGCACCTGTTCATCACGAACCTAGACGAGAAGAAGGCCTCTCCGCTTCTCGGACACCCATTCGACGATGACGATGACCTGCGGATACACCGTCGCCGGATCAACGCCGATGATCTGCGGGCCGCCGCGGCAAGCGGGGACGATGGGACGATCGAGCCGGGAAAGACGGTAGCCTACGTGTGCGGACCGCCGGGCATGACGGATGAGATCGTGGGGAGATTGGAGGGGTTACTTGGTGGCAGAGAAAGGGTGTTCTACGAAAAGTGGTGGTAATCAAAAAACAAAAGGGGGGAGGGGGGATCCATACCATAAAATTGGTTGGGAGAAAAGTAAGAAAGAAACCACAGTAGTCCAGAACAAAAAACTCGATAAACAACGATAATGCATTCAAATAGCAACCCAATCTTTTGGAGAGTAACCCTGCAAAACAAACAAACCCCCCTTTTTGCCAATGCCCGCAGATGCCGGTTCCGAGCTCACACATAGGTATAGGTATAATACAGAATAAAGGTCAAGTCAAAGTTTACTCCGGTTTGTCATCGAAGATAGAAGCCGAGCCGTGAAGCTGATGGAGCTCTGTGTCAATGGAAAGGGAAACGAAAAAAAAAAGAAAGAAAGAAAGAGAAAAGAAGACTCTTATTGGGAAAAAGGCGGTATCTTAAAGCTCTGGATCCGGTCCCTTGACCGTACCTCCATCAATAATCATCATCTCGTCGATGCGGGCTTCAGTCTCGCCATGCTCAAGCCGCTTGTAGGTCATAACACGACCGGGGTTCATGTCGAAGTCATAGAACCGCACCCGTCGCACGTAGCCTCCATAGCCTCCATAGCCGCCAAACCCGACTCCCCCTCCATAGCACATCCAAAGGGATGGCTTTTCTTCGTGATCACGGTTCAACATGCAGTAGTCGTTGACGTGGTCACTGGGAGAGATGTTAGCGCACCTGTATCTGCATATCCAACAAGGGAGACACCTACTGTCCACAGCTTACGAATAAAATGCCCTCTTCCTCCATGGCGTCCTTGAACCCCGAATTAAAGCCCGGAGCGGTTGGAGCCTCGGACCAGTTTCCACGGTAGTAGTTGCGAGAGTCGCGGTACTCAGGCACAGGAATGTGGATGAAAGCCATATTCATGTGCATGTGAGTGTATTCGTGGTGCTTGTTCCGCAAGCTGTGAGCAGTGTTCTTAAACCAATGGATTTGAGTTGGTTTGATCCAATCGTACCCGCGGAACTGACGCTCATCGGGGGAGTAAGAGTGGCTATCCAGCAAGTATAGAGTCAGAGCTGAGTGCTGAGTGCTTCCGCGGCCCAGGACCTCCACATAATAATTTCCAACGCCGTCCACTTCCTCAGGCCCCGCCCTCGAGAGCGAGTATGGCAGGTCCTCCAATATCGTCATCAATTCCAGTCGGGAAAGGTCTCCCTCATCGTCATGGTTGCCGAAAATAGCCGCGTAGGGAATTTTGCGATCGACCAGCAACTTCACAGACTTGAAGAGCGCGCTCTGCGCATCTTTGGCCGTCTCGCCGTTGACCTGATCTCCGCTCAGGACGACCATGTCCGGCTGCTCTTCGTCCAAGAGCCGCTCCACAAACTCCAGTGTCCGGGGATCAGCTTCGCACCCCTGGCCCGCCACCGACTCCGCCGGCACAGGGTCTCGGCACGCACCGAGGCCCGTGCTCAAATGCAAATCTGCGAGCTGCATGATCTTGAACCGCCCGTTCTCATTGATGCGAGGCACTGGCTTCTTCGTCTTGGTGGGATCGCCCCTCCGAACGCTAATCCGGGCCTCCAGGGCCTCCGTCCGGCTATCCAGTAGCAGCGGGGTATCCTTCACTTCCCAGCCAATACGAGGGTCCACGGCATCCGCGCCGAACAGGACGTCGACGGCCGTGATCGCCTTCTGCGAGTCACTCGCATGCCGCTTGGCTGTCCGCTTCAGCCAGATGCCTCCGGGTCTTTGTTCCCACGTCTCCTTTTCGTCCCCGGGCTTATCTGAGTATTCTGGAACGAGTCGGCTGATCTTGAGGTCAATGACCACTTGGTCGCTGGCGAGGAGCTCCTCCTCTTTCTTGCGCTCGAAGCGGACGAAAGCGCTCGAGGTCCAACCGGTGCGGAGGTAAAGATCCTTTTCCACCTGCGACCATGCCGTCTGTGGGTTTGGTTTGCAGCTGGAAAAGACGTTCACGGACGAACAGGTGACAACTGTCACATCAGTGACGACGAGGCCGTTGTAGTGGGACGGAAGGTGGCCATGGATGGAGGCAGGGAGGACGCGGAATCGGTTGTCCAAGACCACGACGAGGAGTGTGACGAAGGACGCGAAAATGGCGAGCTGCACGCCCGCTCGAACCTGGAAAGAGACAGCAGATTTAGCAAGGTATCTTCCCGCAAGCAAGTATCAATCTCAGGGATGCACAGATGCTCCAAACATACAAGTCGGCGTGTCATGCTAAAAAGTCGTGTTGTTAGTTATGGGTACCCCTAGCCAGTGCTAAACAGATGCGTGAAGCGGCCACAAGTACAGGAGCATGTTGAAGCACACAAGTTACGGGACAAAAGGTTCAGGGGCTTGCCAAAGAGAAGGACCTGATCACCGGTCATCTCACAAGGGGCCCTTGATGATTTTCTCTCGAATTCAGGAGGGGAGAGAAGGCGATCGGTTGTCTGGCCTGCCCCAAGCGGAGTCCGCCCCCAGTCCTTACCATGACCGGCAGGCGGTGGGGAGTTGGTCACATGGCTCTGGCCCGTCAAATCGGAAGCTGAACGGGAGCTATCCCTTTGTAGTTTAGCTGAGGGGGAACCCTGCACTAGCTTAGTTGGGGATATTTGGTTCATCGCCGCGGCCATTGAAAATACGATCGATTGATACTGATCAGAATTGAATGTCATGTCTATCTATCATTATAGAGTCTAGCACTTGGCCTGCCTATACGTCTATGGCCCTGTAGTCTATATCTATTGCTGCAAAAATCGCCTCTTCTTCAGGACTTGTTGGCTCCCTGATGAACCTTGTCCAATCCTTCCTGAGCCACTTTCTTGACAGAGACCTTGCCCGCCAGGATGTCTTTAGTCGTCGCAAGAATCGACTCCCAGCTTTCGAACAGAGTGAAGGGGACCCCTTGACGCTCGCAGAAAGTCACGAGATCTGGAAGTATTAGTCAACCAAACTCAATCAGAAGATCTCACAACAAGCCTACCTTTGCCCTTCTTAGCGAATAGCAGATCCGTCTCTGCCGCGGCAGACAGATCAGAGACCCCATCTCCCGCGTACAGCAAGGTTGGACGCTCGTTGTCTGGTAGCGCGGCGTAGGGCTTGATTTCCAAGGACTTGTCGTGGCCAAAATGGCTAGGAATATGACGTCAGCTCTGTTCGGACTGGTTACGAGGTTCAAGTGCGAAGGCCCTTACCTATCATCGTGGTACTTGATTTTCCAACCACCCTCACTGTTTATGTCCTTCCCATCACGGCTCTCAACTTCATTCGCAACGATGTAGAGATGGCCGTCCGGCTTGCCGCCTAGCAATGCCTCGAAGAGGGCACTGATAACGGGGATCATGCCGGACGACAAAACAACGATCGGCACATTGTTCTCCCGCGACCAGTGGTAGAACTCGACGAAGTAGGGGTCGAGCTTCATGTTTTTCTTGAGGTACTCGATACACTCATTGTAGGGGGTCTTGATACTGTCTAACATGTCGCGGAAGGAGTCACTGGGGTTGGGTGTTGAAGATTAGCCGACCGTCAAGAAGCTGACCCTGTTTCGCCGGACGTACCGGAAGCTCATCGTGCCTTCGAGGACCGCCAGGTTCCCTTCGCGGCGCTTGTCGCGCCCATAGCCCAGGTTATCGATCTTGCGAATGAAGTAGAGAGTCAGTCAAAGACAGCGAAACAATGGATCGACTCAGACTAAGAGATTACCATAGCATCGTTGCCTGTTCAAGTTCGTTAGCAGGATTGATGGACTGACGTCACGGCCAGAGCAAGCTTACTGTCTTCAAGAGTGATTGTGCCGTCGAAGTCCGTGAAGAAGATGATTTTGGGGTTGGTCTTCATGTATGGAAGATTAGAGGCGGCCATGGTCGGTAGTTGTAGAAGGATTTCTTTTTCTCTAGTGCCGCAATGTCAGACACAACTATATGCGATGTTCATTCAGTGCATTCACCGATCAGGCTTAATCTCAAAGGACGAAGGACGGGAAGGGAACAGCTGGCGCTGGGAAGCGGGATTGACAAACCTGATTGAGGGGCAGAAGAAGGCCGCGGCGGGGGAGCGGGCAGACAGATATCGACTGATTCCAAAAATTGGTCAAGTGGATGTTGAGGGCAATTTTGGGGAATTTTGAAGAGAGCCCCGCGTTGGAGAGGGGAGAATTAAGAAGAGAGAGTCAGCAAGTCCAGCAGCTAGACTCGATCAGTGAAAGAGTGGATAATCACGAAACCCGCCGTCGAGCAAAGATCAATTGGGCCACGCTTGAGTCAGTCGTTAGATCGGCGGAGTTTCCCCAGATACTGTGCCAATTCGAGACTAGTTCATCAGTGAACTGTTTTGTATTCTTTTTTCCGCAACGGAAATTGTTTGGGGGGGGGGCTTTTATGGAACAAGACGAAAGTTATCTCGGAGCTCTTTCGGCCACTCACTTCAGCCTTTCAATGAATATGCACCGACCCAGTCATGCTGGGGGTGGGGGAAACAACGGGAGCGGACCGTCTCTTCAGTGAGGGACTCGGTCTCCACCACTTGACTGCATCTATCACAGAAGATGGTCGATATATTCGACCACCACGGGCTGTGGCTGGGTCCGATCATTGGTAGATGGAAGGTTGTCAAAGGCAAATGCTTGGTCACGGGCGTTAACTATAGCGTTACGCTCGATGACTTTCTCAAAGAGAGAAGGACTGCAGTCGCTTGTGTCAAGCTACCGTCTGTATCCCATTAGTATCTGCAAGAACATGTCAAGCATGTTGGGCTGTTATACTAGCCGTTGTCTTTGGTGCTCCAGTAATCATTGTTGACCAGATCAAGAACGATAAGATGGAACAGTGAGATTCCTGCTCTGCACACGCACTCTTTAACTCCTCCACGGCCTTTTTCCGCCCTTTGGGGTACAAAAAGCGGCGCGAGTCGGACCGGAACCGGATAAGGAAAGCGTAGTCGGTCCCTTTCATCAACCGGAAAAGTTTCGTTGTGATGCATGAGAACAGTTAAAGAACCCGTTTATCATTTACCTTAAATCAGTTGCCCTCAATGGCGCGTCTGCTGCAAGCACTGCGTCGGATCTTGGGACCGACTCCTTCAGCTGCGCCCAAGACCCCAAGCCCGAGTCTCTCTTTACCACCTCAATCCATCGCCCGTCGTTTCCCGTCCATTGATACCAATTTTACCTATCTCCGGGGTAAGGCGATCACACCCGCTTGCGATTGCTGTTCTGCATGTAGTTTGAATCTGACAGTTCTTAGAGGGGGATAGAGCCGTCGTCGATGGAAAGACGCCTCTTTTGACCAAACCACTGCGCAAGGGTGGCCGGACAGATGTTCGTCGGGGGAGGTTGGAGCATAACGATGTTATCGGCCGAAGAGTGCGAGAACTGATCCCGTCACACAAGGGTATGTTTACCTTTGGCAATCTTGTACCACCAAGATGAGAGGATAAACAAGCAGAGCGCTGACCAGTACATATCTGTCCAGGCCCGGAATACAGGCTCTATCTGCCCACTCTCGAGGAATATGTCGCAATGACGCCTCGCCTGGTGACACCGGTATGTACAACCACCACAACGGGCTAGGAACGATCCCCCCGTCTAACGAAAGACTCGCAACCCGTCTAGATCTACTCCGCAGATGCCAATCTAATCGTCTCGCTCCTCGACATCCACGTGGCTCCTTCCTCCGATTCCGAACAAGCTCCCCTCGAAATCCTCGAATCCGGCACCGGCCATGGGTCCTTGACCCTCCATCTCGCTCGTGCCATCCAGGGCGCCAATTCCATTCCACCCCCGTTTCCAACAACCTCTCAAGTCAAAGACCTCGTTTCCTCCCGCACCTTGTCACAGCCCCCGGCTTCACCAGCATCAACAACAACAGAAGCAACCCCAGAACCGGCCGCCTCCACCTCCGACTCGACCACCACCACCACCACCTCAGAAACAGACCCCACCGAAACCCTCGCCATCCAAACGACCTGGGACAACTGGCGCTCTCAGCGCAAAGCCGTCATCCACACCGTCGACATCACCCACAAAACCGCGCGCCACGCCGAGTCCCTCGTCCGGGGCTTCCGCCGCGGCATCTACGCCGGCAACGTCGACTTCTACTCCGGCCCCGTCGAGACCTGGGTCGCGGCGCAGAAACAAGAACGAAGCCGTTCCGCCGCCTCGACCGCCGAGGCCGATAACCAAACAACAACCACGGCTTCAGAGACGGAGGTGGACCCATTCCTCTCGTACGCGATCCTCGACATGCCCTCCGCGCACCTGCGCATCCCGCACGTCACCTCGATCCTGAAACGCGACGGTCTGCTCGCGGTCTTCGCGCCCAGCGTCACCCAGATCGGCGACTGTCTGGAGTTGATCCGCCGGGAGCGGTTGCCGCTGATCCAGGAGAAGGTGGTCGAGCTGGGCAATGGGATCAGTAGCGGGCGGCTGTGGGATGTGCGGCATGCGACGAGGAAAAGCAAGGAGACGCTCTCGGAGGCTGGGGCCGGCGCGTCTTCCGTGCCGGAGGAGGGTGTAGAGGGAGAGCAAGAGGGGGCGGTTGGTGAGGAGGTTGCGGAGGGGACAGCTGCTACGACCTCGGCTTCCAGCTCAGCGGAACAGGATGCGGATCGAGTGCTAGTTTGTCGACCCAAGGTTGGCACCAGGATCGTGGGAGGCGGATTCATTGGTATTTGGAGAAGGATTGAGGATTGGAAGGTGAAGGAGAAGGTGACTACCGACGCGTAGGCTATGCGACACACACCGTGTGTAGCCCATTTCCCCGGAAAAAATATACCCCTTGTCTGTAAATTAGTATAGAAATAGATTGTGTGACTCCCTAGATACCCATTTCGGAATACCACATCCTGGGCACCTATAGGTACAGGACCCCGTTAGGACCAACCCGCCAGTCTACAACCCCCATTACGTAGATAAGTGTCTTACGGATTACCAGAACTACAGGGTTCTTCCACTGTGCAACCGCGAAATTACAAGTGATGAGGAAAGAGCAGCACTCTCTCAACCAACAACACCATCAGACCCGACCTCTTTCAAAGGGGGTAAAAGAACCAAATCAGCTTTCTGCATCTCCAAATGATGAAAAAAAAAAAAGAACACACAACGAAAGATAAATCGTATCAGGGTTCAAGACTATGTAACCCAACCGACCAGCCAACCATGCATACACACAACAACAGCAACAGCAAAGAGCAACATGACCCCATTCGCCTGTCTTGAGTGCAAAAGGATGAAAAGAGTTTCAAACGGAGGAGGGTGGGGGGGGGGAAGGAAAGAGGGAGAGCAAAGAGGGAAAAGAACCCGAAGAAAGACGGAATTCGCGACCAGGATCCAATCTACAAGTAGATCATGAAGCCGACGGTAGGAAGCCAGAGAGAGAGAGAGAAAGAAGGAGCAGAAAGCAAGCGTCGTTAAGGGAGAAAAGAAAAAGACGAAGAGCATAAGACAGATCCTAACACATACCAACGGAGAGAAGCGAAAAGATTGAGAAAGAAAAAGAAAAAGAAAAAAAGAGCTGCTGCTGCGCCATGGAAAAAAACTACTTTCCAAAGAGAATCCGGGGATGCAGGTTCGGCTGCATGAAAAGTCCCCCACCGGGCGACAGCAGAAACAAGAAATAGACTCACAAGAAGAATGGGAGGAGTGGAAAAATGCAGCACGAGCAGGAAAGCAACTGAAGAACACCACAGACACGCGAAAGGCCCCCAAAGATTCCGAGATAACAAGATAAACCGGCTACACAAACACCAGTTCTCGTAAGATTCAACATGCTCCGTTTCCTCAATTCCGTTGCGGTCCAAAATCCGCTTCCACAACCTTGCCCTTTTTCCCTTTAATGGTAAACTCCGCAAATAATGCGATATGATCACTTGGAAAATGAAAGTTGGGGAATCCGGGCACTTTCTGCAGATAGTCCTTGTCCACCTCCCCAAGTAACGCCGACACATGAAGTGTATTCGAAGAGAACCAGATGTAATCCAGAATATCCTTGAAATCCGGCGTGTAATTCGTGAAGCTGAGCTCGCCGATGGAATTGTATGCAGACTTCAGCTTGAACGGATGCGTCATACCGACCCTGCTGAGGTTGCCGTAGAGTCGCTTCTCCAGATCGGGATGTGCCTCCGTAAGCCGGCCATTAGCGACCAGATTGTAGGCCGCTGATCCAGGCGCAGAGTTGAAGTCTCCGCACATGAAGAGCGGGATCTGCTCGCCGCTGCTATACTCCATGGATGGCGCGCATTCCGGAGGGTTTTCCGTCTCATTGCCGCCTGCATCAGCAAAGCGGAACGCCGTCTTCTCGGTACAGGCGGGCCACTTGGCATACTTGTCAGAGAGCTTGGTGATTTCTTCCATCAAGATGGCCGTTTGGATCAGCTTGACATCCTTGAAAGCCGGATCCCAGTAGAGATGGGCATTGACAACGATGAAGCGTGAGCCAGTCAACCGATTTTCCAAGAATACGACAACAGCAATGTGATCCTTCTGCCAGAGGCGGTTATAGATGTCGTCTTGACCCTTGGCGTCGGGTCTCCGTACGGCCGTCTGGCCGAAGTTGATCAACTGCTTGTCGAGAAGAATGAATTTGCTGTCTTTGAAGAAGGTAGCGCAACCATCGACATTCTTGGCTTCCTCCTCTTGCATGCCCATGGCGCGTCCTCTAGGCCAATAAACACCCTTGTAGTTGTTGTAAGCCAGCTGCTCCCTGAAGAACCCATTGTAGCTTCCCTGGTCAACTTCCTGAAGGCAGACAATGTCCGAGTCGTGGGACCTCAACTCGCTCAGGATGAGCTCTCGTCTATACTCCCATGACAACGCACGCGAAGGAGTATAGCCGAAGTGGGATGCAGTGGCAGACGATTCGCACAGA